TTTCTGGACATGTGCAGATATGGTCATCTGCTTCTGTTTTTTTGGCATATTCAGGGGTTATCTGTGGCCTTAATGCTTAGATAGGTGTGTATTTTGGGATTTTTTTATGCTGATTGCCTCCAGGTAGATGTGATCAGGAAATGGGCTTCACTTTTCACTCTTCTTCTTGAGAAATTTCAAGATGCCACTGTCGGTCGTTTTGACGTAATTTAAGATTTAATTTTCGGCCTATGTCCTTTTTTGTCTGCTTGTCCTGCTCCACAATCCCCGTTAAGGCCTTTTTTTCTAGTTGTAAACAATTCAGGGCCAGCTGTGGCCATTGGTTTTAATTGGAAACTGTCTCTTTAAATTTAAAGGAGATCTGTGCGCATGTGTAGTAGAACCCTCCGAGGGTGGGGCTAGGGTATCCACTAGCTCAGGCACCCCTATAGTCACCCAAATGGAGGTGCGCAGACAGCAAGGCACCAATGAACAGCTACCAAAAGAAAAGAATGTCCACACCTTTATTTCTGTGGTTCAGCCAGATGGCTGTGGCTGCTCCGATCCTTCCCTGGCTTGGTCTCACCTAAGATGGCGGCTCCTCAAGCAGCTGAGCTTCTTGAATTAGAGAGCAATGGATTTCTTGCTTCTGCCACAAATTCCCCCAGCTGTAAGCCTTCCAACCTTCTAAATATTCCTTTATATGTGGTTCAGAGTTCTGGGACCATCCCCTGAACCTGCTTGGTCAGGTATTCTGTGTTGTTGCTAGCGGAGCTCCTTTACTGAATTTCCACCCAATCCGCCATCTTGTTTGTTCTCTACCCACATAGTTTTTACTGAAGTTTTTATGGTTTAATTTTCCCACATATATATCATTGATCCATTTAAAATTTATTTTATCCTGTTATGTTGCATTGAATAGATCTGACCTCCTCATACCCAGAGGTGCAGGCTCTTGAATAAGAGATAATTCTTAAACAAGTTTTTTCAGCAAGTATTTATTAGTAATAAGTACTCCCTGAAAAAAATACTTGCATTTCTCTTGTTTTAGGATGACCTGGTTTCTAATCCAAGCCCTCACCACTGAATTGCTGTATGAACTTGGGCAACTCATTTACCTGATGGGAGCCTTCTGTTTTCTGATCTATAAGATGGTGATAATAGTTTCTGCCCAGTCGAAGCCACAGTGTTGCTGGCAGAATTAACCAAAACGATGTTTTTGCCCAGGGCTGTGGATGTTGTAAAATGCTAAACACTATATAATGTGATGGGATCCTGGTGTGGCACTGTAGGATCAGCATTAGACTGCTAACCACAAGGTCAGCAATTCAAACCCACTAGCCACTCCTCAGAAACCCTAAACAGGGTTGCTATAAGTCAGGCACCTAACAACAACAACAATGTAAGGTGGTGGATAAAAATAAAGCCATAGCAGCACTTTGTATCTACATACAACAACCCTCTCAAAAACCCAGCATGGGTACTCAATGATACCAGTGTTGCCAAAAGTTCATGGAAAAACTGAGCAACGGAAAAATCATGGAATTTTTCCTTGAAGCCCCTTGATATGTTCTTGAATCTTGTAGGGCTGTAGGATAAGCACTGGACTACTAAATGCAAGGTTGGCGGTTCAAACCCGTTAGCTGCTCCTCAGAAATCCTGCACATGTACAGGATCGATGTGAGTCAGAATCTACACAACAGCAGTTAACAACAACAAGTATACTCCCTGTTAGTGCAGTAGCTCTGTAGGATGCACAGGGGACTGCGAACCACAAGCCTGGGGGCTTGAGCCCATAAGCCACTCCACAGGAGAAAGAGGAGGCTTTCTGCTCCCACAAAGATGTAAAGCCTTAGATAGAGACCTTATACAGGGTCACTGTGAGTCAGAACCCACAAGTGTACTCCAGTGAGTAAAATCTCTAAATTCACAAATTGTTGGACTTGTGTTTTAGTGGGAGGGAGAAGTCGAATCATTAAAATTATTAAATGGATAGTATGTGAGATCGTGATATGGAGAAAAAGAAAGCAGGGGAGGAGGAAGGGTGAGAAGGTAGCATTTGGGTAAAATCTTAAGGCAGGAGAGAGAGTGGGTCATGTGACTGGAAGAGAGTACACCAAGCATTGGAATGAGCGGAAGCAAAGGCCTTGAAGTTGGACAGTAAGCAAAGAGGCCAGCAAGTCAGGAGCATACTGGACAAGGGTGAGAATGGACAGAGGAGATCATTGGGAGACATAAGGAAGACATGACCATCTTTAAGGGCAGGTAGGGACTTGGGCTTTTATTCTGTTCAAGATAGAAACCCACTGGCATGTTTCCAGGAGCGATGTAGTAGACTTCTTTTCCAAGGGAGGAAACAGAGAGCCCCTTAGAAGGTAGACAGGTTGGAGTGCAGGACATTCAGTGGATTGGATTGTGGCCCTTTCCTGCAGGGAAAGCAAATAGACTTTTGGACAGTTTGAACAGGTATGAGAGAGGAGTGAAGGCTGACTTATGTTTTGGTTGAATAAATAGACAGAGTTTCTTGTTACCGCTTTGCACCTGAGGGCACTGAGGCCCAGAGTGGTCAGGACTTCTGTCCACAGTCAGCCATGCTGTACACTTGTGTGGAGACTAGCCAAGGCCCTGCCTGCAGGCAGACTCCTCAGGGGACAGTCCTCCATATGGGCCATGGGAGATGAGAGTGGTGGGCCAGAACCTGTCTGCTGACCCCACACCTGCACTCTCCTTGCAGGCCCAAGACCCGTGAGGTGCGCAGCCCCACTGCCTGGGCAGCCTCGCCCTACGACTGCCCGCTAATGTTGCGGAAGCTCATCCGCAAGGAAGACATCCGGCCTGGCTGCAAGTGTGTTGTAAAGGCACCACTGGTGTCTGACGTGGAGCTGGAGCGTTTTATGTCAGCTCCCCGTGATCCCAGTCAGGTGCTGGTGTTTGGCATTGTCTCAGTCCAGAACCCAACCAGAACCGCCCAACTCCAGTGGCTGCTGGACATCCTCTACAGTCACCGGCAGCAGGGTCGTGCCTCTCCCTGCATGCAGGTGGGTCAAAGTCACGGGGGAGGGGTCCCAGGGAAAGATCCCAAGGGGCTGGGTTTCATTTGGCATCTGGGGATGGGCTTTAGCTCAGCTCCTTTTCTGCTCAGTCTTTGCTCTCACTCAAGCTCCACTCAGAACGGTCTCTCCCTTCTCTCTATCACACCCTCCCCCTTCCATCCCTGGATAAGTCCACACCAAGGATAACTCCATACCAAGAAAAGGTCAGGCCTTTTCTGACCCTGAGACACATCAGGGCACTGTCCTTTCCCCCAAGCACCACAATTGTGAGTATTTGTGTGACTATTTGTAGCAGAGACTCAGTTTCCCATCACCTTCCAGGCACAGACGGCCCCTCTGCCCACAGTGGGCTGGGTCCCAGTGAACCCTGAACCCCGGCTGAATCACACACACCATGCCTGAAGGAACTTCCAGTGAGGAAATGACAAGCTCTGAAGGTTCTGATGAGGTCCACGCTGGGAGGATATCTTTGCGGGAGCTGGGATGGGAGTGTCAGCTGCCTCTCAGAGGGTCCCACAGTCCCCAGGAAGGAGGGATTTGTCAGGAAACTGAGTGTTTCCTTTAGAGGGAGGGACCTGTGCACAGGCTGACGCAGGAGAAACCGCTGCTGAGCTCCTGATCCCTGTGAATGGAGCTCTAAGGGAGTCAAGGGGTCCAAGGCTTGGGCAGGGTGATTATACCCCACCCCACCCTTGTGCCCTAGCACAATTGTCCCTAAGTCCTGGGTATTCATCCTCCAAGTCAAGAGCATTATCAGAAACCAGGTTGGCCACATCCCTAGACTAACTGAGGCCAAGGACAGTTTGTGGACACAGGAGCTTTGTGTCCATGTGGTGACTGGCATTTTCAAGTCCTCCATGCCCTGGGAGCCTCCATTGTGTTTGCCCTACCCCTATATGGCAGGGTCTTCTTCACAGAGGGTCACACTCTGAGATTTCATGTACCACATTGGAGGTGTCTGTGTGGACACTGCTCCAGCCTCTACTCCTTTGAGCAAGGCCTCCCTGAGCCCCAGTGCCCTCCTCAGCCTTCACCTAGCCAGTGATGTGGGACCCTCACTCTTTCAGTTCAAGTTAGATCAAAGTCAGTCATAAGCCTACCACTAATCTCATACATCAAGCCATGTTTGTTTTCTGAGAAACTTCTGGTCTCATACGTGTACTCTAAGCCCATCGGTGTACAAGGCAGACCTAATCCTCTCCACATGGGACTCACGGTGGATTTGACTTTACCTTGGGGTTCTTAGCTGTTGATTCCTAATTATCCCTAAACAACAAGAACTCTTGGGTGTTCTGGTCCTGACTGAGGGTGGGAGTGGGGGGTCCAAGGTCAGTGGTAATATCCCACCATTTGGTCAGAAATGTTCCCTGGCATTCTCTTACCCTGGAAGTCTGAGCACCGGGAGCCATTCTGGGTATCCCATTTTTAATTGAAAGGTTGGTGTGACTCAGCAGGGTGGCTGAAAGAACCTAGACGATTAAAATGGAAAAACTACACATTGGCTGCATGAATCGATCTATAGCATCCAGAATATAGGAGGTGAAAGAGACTAGCTTTAGCCTGGATGGAGGGGTGGGTGCAGTTCCAATCCTGCGTTAGATACTGTGGTCTGCAGACGGTATGCAGAGGGAGGCAGCAGCTTGGGGGACAGGGGCACCCTGTGGAGGAGATACCGACGCCTGGGAATGAGCACATCAGAAGCAGGCCTCCTGAGGGTTTACCCCAGAGCAGAGGGAGCAGCCACACCCTCTGTACCCCAGAAGACGGGGGGCGTTGTCATTTCAGTGACACCCCTCACCAATAGAAGGCCCTCATCGTGAAGGAGGCATGTAGGGGCTGAACAGCCCTTGCAATGGCGAGGGGGAAGCGCACAGGGCTCCTGGGCTCACACGGACACTGGTCTGGTCAAGAATTCTGGAATCCAAGAGAGTCTTCTTGGCACAGGAATCTGCATGACAACAACTAACAGCAGCAACAACCACAACTTCCTGGCATCGGGTAAGCAGCCTTGGGCATTTCTATCTTGGCAGTGCCGGCATGACCCCTACCGCCTACTGCGCTATGATCTGGACAGCCCCCTGCAGAATGACCCACCCCTACTGGTGAAGAAGTACTCCGTGATGCCCGGCATGATCCTGGTGAGCAGGAACCCAGTCACAGATGTGGAAGGGTAGGCTTCAGGACCTGTGCCTTGTCCACACAGAGGACAGAGAAGGGGAGGGCTCATTGAGGGTTTCGCAGCACAGGGAATTGGAGCTGGACCCCAGATCCACCGCCCTACGCAATAAGTTCCCCCCGCATAGGAGGCGCTTAACTCAGAGAATTCGTTTCTTATTATCATGCTTTCAAATAAGCTTCATACTCAAAACAAGAGCAGCTGGCTGGCACAAACAGCTAAACACTTGACTACTACTGCCTGAGGGCTGGGGGCTGGAAAGCCATCCCAAGGTACCTCAGGCTTCTGAAAGGTCACAGGACTTTCTCTCTCAGTAGTTCTACTCTGCACACATGGGATCTCCATGAGTCAGAATTGACTTGGTGCAACCGGGTTGGTTACTGCTAGCTTGTTTGCGTACATGAAAAACAGTATATTTAAAATACAAAAAGAAGAACAGAAAATGTGTTCACCAGAGAAAAGTTGGAAAAGATGATTTAGAAAACAACCATCCTGCTACACAGAGAGGACCCTGGAGTCCCTTTGTTCATGTATAGTCTGAGGTCCTACTTGGGTACAGGTCTTTAACTCATTTGTAACACCTGATGTGTGTTACATGCATAGCAATCAGCTGTTCCCTTTCTCTATCCATGCTTCCTTTGCCGGACATTTAGATGATTATTTCCAGTTTGGTTTTCTGTCTTTTTTTTGCCACCAAATAGCACTATGATGAGTATCCTTGCCAATAATCTTTGGTCAGATCTCTCAGTGTTAGAGACTGATGTGGAAGGTACACAGAGGAGAGCTGGGTGTACACAGAGAAGCTGAGTGGGCTGGACAGCTGTGGTCAGCAGCCTGGGGACTCTAACTGAGACATCCCTCAGGCCCCAGTATGCTGGGGATGGACTATGAGAGAAGTCCAGCAGGGGGCCATGGCTAGGAAGGTGGGTTGTGCTCTGACTTGGGGATCTGGTCAGCAGACAGACTCACCACATCTCATGGGGCCACTTAGGTGAGCAACACTTCTTCACTGGCTGCCAGATGTCCAAATTCTGGCCCAAAGTCTTTGAGGAGGTCCGTGACCCTATCCTCTGAACTCCAAATGTCCCTGCCTTATTATTTCATGCTGATGTGCTGAGGTTCTCCCCTTTGTCTCCATCCTGTTTGTCAACAGATGTTCGCTGGTGGGAAACTCCTCTTTGGAGGCTGTGTTTTGAATGGATATGGCGTCAGTAAGCAGAACCTGCTAAAACAGATCTTCCAGGCTCGGCATGATTGCAAGATGGGTTACTTCCTACCAGACAACTATAAATTTAGGTGAAATGGAAAATACATGGGAATGTGGGATGGGTGCAGGGAGGGATGGGTGTGGGAGTGGCACAGCGGCAGGCCTGGGAGCCAAAGAGGAGTGACGGGGTGGGGGGTGGGGGCGGTCAATTTGAGATGGCAGAGGCTACATTGCACATGGGAAAAGCTGGCAATAAGGGGTTTCTGCAGGTGGGCAGGACCAAATGGGAGCAGGCACCCAGTGGGTGAAAAGACCATGTTATTGGTTTGTCTGGAACACATGCTAGGTCAAAGAGGACATGGGTTATTTGTACAGTACTGCTTTCTGTTGGAGAACTACTGCAGACAGGGTTTGGGCAGGGGTCCTTGATAGCCCTGCCTCCTGCCCTGCCCCTTTCCAGTTCAGCTTCTACTCTGCACACAAGCAGGATCACAGAAACCATGCCTACATACTGAGTGATCCTAGTCCTTGTACATGAAGGTGGGGTGCACTGGATGCTGTCTGTCTACCTCTAAGCCTCAGATCTCAGACTTTTCCAATCAGTGCTCTTAATGTATTGAGCACCTCCTGGGGCCAGCTTAGCTGAGATGGTCAGAAAGCATGTGGCCTCAGTCAGGGAAGGAACGTAGCATTTATGAAGCTACCGAGAGCTTAACCAGGTGCCTATGACAGGATTCTAAAATACCTGGCACCAGGCAGTATGGTGCAAGGAAAATCAGAGTTCATAAGATGTGGAGTCCCTGCTCTTTTCTTTACTAGCTGGGTGACCTTGGGCTGTTCAGTCTGCCTCCCGACTCTTCCATTTCCTCGCCCTTAACTGAAGATAACCTTGCCTAGCTCACAGAGTTGTTGTGAGGATCTTAGGATATTGTATTTGTTAGAGTGCTTTGTGAGCTGGTACCTGAAGGAAGATGAGCTCTGCTTCTCCAGACCTGCAGAATGTGCAGCGCTGGTCCTTGGCCAGCCCTAAACTAGCAGGAACTCTCATAAACACCAGCCTATTCCCAGCTGCCTTCTAGGCCTGAAAGAGTCCCTGCTGGCCTGTACAAACTACTTCTGGATTGAGTGCCCTGAACACAGACAACACCTAGACGTATAGAAACTCCATTTAGGCCAAGCACACCACCTCTTACCTGGCAGGAGCCCCCTACAGTTTTCTCCTATCTGGGTCAGGCCCCCGACCTAGTTTTTTCCTGTCTTTTTTTTTTTTTTTTCTTTATTCTCCTTTTTCCCTTCCCTTGATTTTTTTATCCCTTATTTCTCTGCTTACTTTATTTCTTCTTTTTTTCGGTTTCTCTTTTATCTTCCTTCTACCTAGCTGTGTTTAGTGTGTTCTTTATTTTTTCTTCTCTCCCCTGGTTTTATTTTCTTTTCCCTGTTTCTCTTTTTAGTTAGTATATTCTTTATTCTTGCTGCTGCCTTGCTGTGTTTTTTCCCCCCTGTGTTATTTTATTTCTTTGTAGTTGCTTGTTTGTTTAGCTTTTTTTCCCACCGTGTGTGTGTGTGTGTGTGTGTGTGTGTGTGAGTATTTTCTTCTTGCCCCAGCTGATGGAAGACAGCAGCCATGTTCCCACAGCCTAGTCACAACTGTACCCTCTGTAGCTACAGACACTACCAGCTCTGATTTCACCGAATCACTGATAGACAGCAGCCAACACCAGCACCCTGAACAGAACTGCATGAACAGCAAATCCCTTCTTTAATCACACCCATCAGGAGGCAGGTGGTGAGTGCCTAAGAACATACTAGGTTGTTAATGAGTCTTCCTCCACTCCTGATGTCACATTCTTCTTCATATAATCCAGTTTCTTGGATTATTTGCTCAGTGTACGGATTGAATAAATATGGTAAAATAATATAATCCTAGGGCACACCTTTCTTAATTTTAAACCATTCAGTGCTTCCCTGTTCTTTTCTGTTTCTTGGTCTATGTACAGGTTCCTCATGAGCACAATTAAGTGTTCTGGAATATTCATTCTTCACAATGTTGTCCATAGCTTGTCATGATCCACACAATTAAGTCTTTACACAGTCAAAATAGCACAATAAAATGCCTTTCTAGTATTCTCTGCTTTCAGCCAAGATCCACCTGATGTCAACAATGATATTCCCCATTCCACATCCTAGAGTGAATCCAGCTTGAACCTCTGTCAGCTCCCTGCCAATGTACTGTTGCAGCTATTTTTGAGTCACCTTTAGCAAAATTTTACTTGCATATGATATCATCCTATGATTTCTGCATTCCATTGGGTCACCTGTCTTTGGAATGGGCACAAATATGGATCTCTTCTAATCAGTAGGCCAAGTACTTGCCTTCCAAATTTTTTGGCAGAGATGAGTGAGTGCCTCCAGTGCTGCAGTTTATTGGAATATTTCAATTTGCCTTCCATCAATTCCCGACTCTTGCTCTTTGCCAATGCCTTCAGTGCACATTGGACTTTTTTTCAGTACCTGTGGTCTCCTGAAACGGCTGAATATCAACCATTTCTTTTGGTACCATGACCCAGATTATTCCTTACATCTTCTTTTGATGCTTTCTGCATCATTCAATATTTTACCCATAGAATCCTACAGTATTGTTAAGTTGAGGCTTGAGCACTTTCTTCAGTTCTTTCAGCTTGAGAAATGCTAAGCATGTTCTTTCCTTTTGGTTTTCTAATTCCAGGTCTTTGCACATTTCTTTATAATGCTTGACCTTGTCTTCTCATGCTGCCCTTTGAAATTTTTTGTTCAGCTCTTTTACTTCCCCAAATCTTCCATTTGCTTTAATATCTCTACACTGTGAGTGAGTTTCAGCATCTCTTCTGATGTCCATTTTGGTCTTTTTCCTCTTTCTTGTCTTAATGAGTTTTTGCTTTCCTCCTGTATGATATTCCTGATGTCATCCCACAACTCTTCTGGTCTTTGGTCATTAGTGTCTAATGCAACAAATCTGTTATTGAAATGTTCCCTAAATTCAGGTGAGATTGTTCAAGATCAAATTTTAACTCTCATGGACTTGTTTTAATTTTCTTCATCTTCAGCCACAGTTTGCATATGAGCAATTGATGGCCTGTTCCACAGTCTGTCTCTGGCATGGTTTTGGCTGATGATATAGAGTGTTTCCACGGTCTCTTCCTACAGATGTAGTCAATTTGATTTCTCTATGTGCCATCTAATGAGGTGCATGTGCATAATCATCTTTAATGTTGTTAAAAAAAAGGTATTTGCCATGAACAAATCATTAGTCTTGAAAAATTCTATCATGCAGTCCACAGTGTTGTTCCTGTCACCAAGCCCATATTTTCCAACTACTGGTCCTTCCTCTTTGTTTCCAACCTTCACATTCCAATCACCAGTAATGATCAATACATCTTGAGTGTATGTTTGATTAATTTCAGACTGAAGAAGTTGGTAGAAGTCTTCAGTTTCATCATCAGTAGCTTTAGTGGTTGGTGTGTAAATTTAAATACTAGTGATATTAACTGGTCTTCCTCATAGGGGTGTAGGTATTATCCTACCAGAGACAGCATTATGCTTCAAGATAGAGCTTGAGATGTTCTTTTTGATGATGAATGCAATGCCATGCCTCATCAATTTGTCATTCTCTGCATAATAAATCATATGACTATTAGATTCAAAATGGCCAATATCAGTCCATTTCAGTTCACAAATGTCTTTATGCTTTGCATTTCATTTTTTGACAGCTTCCAATTTTCCTTGATTCATACTTTGTACATTCCATGTTTTGATTATTAATGGATGTGTACAGTGGTTTCACCTCATCAACAGCAAATGAAGGTCCTGAAACCTTTATTTCATATGTGTCATCCTGGTCAATTCTACTTTGAGGAGGCAGCTTTCCCCCAGTTTTGAGGACCTTCCAACCTGAGAAGCTCGTCTTCCAGTACTATATCTGACAATATTCTGGTGCTCTTCATCATGTTTCCATAGTCAATGTTCTGGTACTGTCTGACAGTGCTCCACTGCGATTCATGTTTTCAGTGCCTAATCATTCTAAAGTAATCTGCCTCTCTTTCCTAGTCTGTCATTGTCTGGAGGTGCAGATGAAACCTGTCCACCACGGGTGTACCCTGCTGGTATTTAAAATACCGGTGGCTTAACTTCTGGCTTCACAACAACATGCACGTCACTGCAGTACGTCAAACTGACAGACGAGTGGTGAACAGTAATAGTAGAGATCTTGAGTATCATATTTGATGGACATAAGAACTAGGAAAAAAACCTCAACAGACACAAAAAGTGAGACACAATCAACCAACTTGACCTCTATTGCAGCGATACCAAGTTCAACGATTTCTCTGATGGTGTATTTGCAGAAGTTGACCATCTTTTGCTTCCTTTGCTTCCATCCATCCAAATGTTGCTAGTCTACAAAGGTTCTCATTCTCACAATTCCAAGAATTTAGAAATCCAGGTGAAACCTAGTTTGACATCTGTGATTCCGTTTTAATTTGCCATAAGCTTTGCTTTGATCTGGATTGCCACAGCAGGGACAGTTTTGACTGTGTTGCCTTTGAGAAAGAATCCACTCTTTCAGATCACTTCAATTCAGGCCATTTTGCTTGGTGCCCATGTTATTGTTGTTGTTGTGTGTCATTGAGTCGGTTCCAACCTTAGTGACTTGTACAGGGTTTCCAAGGAATGACTGGTGTGTTTGAACCTCTGATGTTACAGTTAGCAGTCTAGTGCTTATCCTACAGTGCCACACCATTGCTCTTGGGTCCATAACGTGAGTGTTTTCATGGATTCGTTTTCTCCAGCTTCTTTTTCTTCTTTCTCCATTTAAGAATAGACAACTCTCCAACTTCAGCCTCTCACTACCATTCTGTTGCTTGTTTATTCTGACTTTGCAATGACTCTCAGTTTGAAGTTGGCAGTGTAGGATTTGCATTTAATTCCTGTCATGATTCGAAAGTATTCTAAGATTTAGATTTATAAACTGAAAAAAATATATTTTTTTGCTCAATATAGTAGAGGTAACTGGTTCTAGTAAAGAGATCAAATGTTAGGAATACAAGAAGCAACGATCTTTTAAATATGCTCGAAAGCATATGCTTAGTGACTCAGAGAGTGATCAAAGACAATGGTGCTAATAAGACAAAACTAGACTATGAAATAAGCGGACCTAACATAGATGATCTGAGAACATTTTCCCATTCAACAGTTGAGCAAGAGCAATCATGTATTGGTTTTACTTGTATCAGTGTATTAGCATTTTGTATCAACATACCTCTTATATTGTGTATCAGTTTTGCTTGTATTGGTGTATCAGTTTTCTATCAGTGTGTCCCTTGTATGGTGAATCAGTATTTTGTATCAGTGTATCATCTGTATCCTGTATCAGTTTTAACTAAGAGCCAGAGTGAGAAGACTGATAATTATGTCAATGCAGATTGAACCGAGATTCCTATTGATAGTTACTCCATACCATTTATTCCATGTTTCCAATTGAAAGCTTGTGATTTATGGAGTCTTCAGTATGTTCAATGATTCAAAAGCCATGGGGAAATAATTATCAAATTAATAGAAACAAACACAGTTCAAAGATTTATTTTCTGATTACCAGGGTACTACCAAAACGTGGTGGGGCGCTGTGGGCTAATGTGTCAGACTTCAATGTCGTTTGAACTGCAAAGTTGGTGTTTCAAGCTCACGACCTGCTCCTATACAGGTTTGCTATGGGTTGGAATCAACTTGATGGCACTTAACAACAACAACAACCAAAACCTGGAGTCCTGGTGTGGTACTGTAGGATAAACACTGGACTGCTAACCACAGGTTGGCAGTTCAAACACACCAACTGCTCCTTGAAAACTGTATACAGGGTTGTTATGAGTCGGAACTGACTTAACAGCATTTAACAACAACCAAAACTTGATCACCCATGACTTCTTTACGATGACATGCCTTCATTATAAACATATGATCAAAGCGAAAAATGTTTGACTAGTAAACGAGAGTTCCAACTCATACAACCCTTCATAGGGTTTCCAAGGAGCAGCTGGCCGGTTTGAACTGCTGACCTTGTGGTTCACAGTCCAGGGCTGATCCTGCAGTACCACACCGGAGTAAGGGTGAAGGTAACTGAAATTCACTTCTGGAAATGTCATGAGACATGCGTGGTTTAAAGATGTGAAATATGCTAGAACTTTCTACATAATTTCATCATTTCTATGCATTTTATGCATTTGTATCTCATTTATGTGGACACACTGTTTGTGAAAAAATAAGGTAACTCCAGACTCTGGAAGGTGTGTGCTCTATGTGCCTGGAAGAATTCAACCTTGACCCTGGGTTTGCTTCCACAAAACTGTCCTCCCTGCTCTACACCCAGGCAGCTCACCCTAGCCCCTCCTTGTTGGGTCTCAGCAAGACTTTGGTTCAGCTTCAGGTTGGCTTGCTGTAGGTCAAGTTATTTTGTTAGGGGAGCCACAGACAAGTGAGGTAGGGGGCCAGGCCCAGTGCTGAGATAAGACTGGGTTCAGGGAAAAGGAAGCAGAAAATGCCTTCCAGGATGGAAACAGTGCTGAGCTCTCCGTGTGTTAGGGGATCATTGTGAACCAGCTCATGAGAAGTCTGGAGAAGACTAAGCAGGGGTAAGCAGGCACTAGACAAGCAGGGGAAGAGTCTGTCAATGAGGGCTTTTGTAACTTGACTTTATAGTCAATGAGTGGTGGGAGGGTGTACCGTGGAGTCGGTTCCAACTCATAGCAACCCTGCACAGGGTTTCCAAGGCTGTAAATCTTTACGGGAGCAGAAAGCCTCATCTTCCTCATCTTTATCCTGCGGAACTGCTGACCATGAGGTTAGTAGCCCAACTCATAACCACTACGCTACCAGAGCTCGTTATAGGCAATAGGGAGTCACTGAAAGTTTTTGAGCTTAGAGAGGTTTAATCAGAGTTGGGCTTTATTGGTATGAATAAAAATGGTTCCAAAGTCACCTCTCCCTGGACTGTGGACCAGAGTGGGACTGAGAGGAAGTTATGTTTCTGAAGTTGACCAGGGACTCAGGAAAAGGGGGTTGTACTCAGTGCTATGGGAAGTTGGGTTGCACTCACCAAACCAAAGTGTTTTTTGAAATTGCTGGAGGGACTAACCTGTTGCAAACTCCCACATGATCTTTCACTTATCCTCTGAGCAAGGGTGGTCTTGGCTTCAATCTCTAGGTCATTCTTCGAGGGGAGTTGAGGGCTAGGGAGGGAACAGGAGTTTATCCAGTGTGGTCCCAGTAGACGCTGAAAGTCAGCATCATTGATTGTACCAGCTCTCAAGGGCTCATTCCCAGACTCCATCCACCCATCCATTCCTTCTACTGAGAAACATGTACTAGAGGTACTAAGTTGCTAAATCAGTCCTCACCTCAGGTTACGGAAGGCACAAGGTTTACAATGCACCGTATTGTGTGAGGTGGAAATGATTTCTGCCAGAGTTAGGGAAGACTTCACAGAGGAGGTGACCTGTGAGCTTGGCCTTGGAGGATAGAGGAGAGCCAAAAGGTATTACAGGCAGGCTAATTGTTGTTGTTGTTAAGTGTCCTTGAGTTGGCTACAACTCATAGTGATCTTGTATAGGGTTTCCGAGGAGCGGCTGATGAGCTTGAACTGCCAACCTTGCAGTTCAAACCAGCCTGCAGTCCAACACAATAACCCACAGCACCATACCAGGCAGAGTAATGTGATGGGCAATGACAAGGGATGCTGTGGGGATTGGTGAGCAGGGAAACTGTGAATCAATTTAGTGTAGATGCAGACGGCCCATTAGGAATGGATCGGGAGTTTGGCACCAGGTTCTGGTAAGCTTTGAGCTGGATACCATTCTCAGGACTTAGGGCTTACCCTGGCAGAAGTCGGGAACCCAAAACTGGTTCAAGGCAGGAGAGACAAGGAAAGATCAAGGAGAAAGCGTCCTCAGGCCATAGCCTGGTGAATGGGTGGGAGGGGTGAGGCTGGAAGTCAGAGGCCAGGGAGGAGGCCAGTGTCCTAGAGTGGTCAGTTGACAGATGGCAGGACATGAAGAACTGGCTGGAAGCTCTGGCCTTAGCTTTGTTATTTGTTATTCACTCTTGTGTCCCTGGAGCCTAGCTCAAGAGAATAGGTTCTCAGCAAATTCTTTCAGTATGAATGAATCAATGAATTCATTGATTCTTGAGGCAGGGGATTCTTGAGGTAGAGAAATGTTCTTGAGACAGGAAAACTGTGCTTCTTTTGGGGCCTTTTCCTACCCTACCCTCCCCAGGGACTCAATGCCAACTTTTGTGATCCTGAGGCTCTCCTCCCCATTCCCTTTGGGTAGAACCTCTGCAGGGAGGTCCAGAGGTCCCCTCCTCCTGCCCTCTGCCCCTCCACCCAGCTCCTGCCTTCTGGGAAGATCACTAGAATGGCCTGAGAGCATCTTCTCAGAGAGCCACTTGGTTGGCTTTCATCTGCAAATGCAGTGTTTAAGAGGGTCATTTCAAGTTTCCTGTTAGATGGGGGTGAGGCTTGAAGGGAAGCTACAGTTTGATAAATGCAAATACTGTGTATATACCCAGATTCTGTTTTGGTATTTCTTTATCTTGAATTTTTTTTTTTTTAGAACGAGACTCCAGTCGTCTCTTGTGGACTCTGAAAGTCCTGGCTTTGAGCAAGTCATTTTTATCCTCTGACTTGGTTTTTAAAGGCGATGGAGATTTAAACAGCCCCCGCCACACTGTTTCTTACTGAAAGCCTTGTTGAGCACAACCCCTGCCTAGACAGTTTCTGTCCACGCTCATTCCAGCCCCAGCTCAGCCTCAGTCTCCACCTCACATTTAATTCTTCCTCACAGATGCCACCTCCCCCCAAAAGCTTCCGGGCCCTCCCTCACTAGATGCCATTGAACAAGACCCTCACTTCTTTGGATATTAATACCCTTGTCTGTAATGTGGAAACAGAAGCCCTTGAGTTGCCTGTTTTCCAGGGCCAGGTGATGCTCAAAACCATCTTGCACCCAGATACTGGGTGTGTAGGGCAGTAAGTGGGGTGCAAGGTGATGAGAAGCACACCTACTAACTGGATTCCTGACCTCCTTGCCCCCTGTGGTCAGGGATGGCAATTCAGAAGTAACTGGTTCCTGTTGTTACGTGCCTTCAAGTTAATTCTGACTGGTACTCACTGCTGGCTACTGGATTCCTACTCATCATGACCCTAAATAACAGATTAGAACTGCATTTTAGGGTTTTCAATGGTTGATTTGTCAGAATTAAATTGCCAGGTCTTTCTTCTAAGGTGCCACCAACCTTTTAATCTATGCACACACACACCCCCGCCCCAGGGTTCCTCGCTCTCTCTTGTGGTTGTTGTGTTTGCTATGTGCCATCAAGTCAGTTCTGACTCATAATGACTCTGTGTAGGGTTTCCATGGAGCGACCCATGGGTTTGAACCACCAACCTTGCAGTTAGTAGTCCAGTGCTTATCCTGCAGCACCACACCAGAACGCTCTCTAGAAATGTGGACATGTCAGGGAATGGGTTGGGCAGGGGCTGCTTGCCCTGGCACCTCAAGGTCTGGGACCCCTCTAGCTCTGATCCTGTTCAGCCGCCCACCCCTACTCTGCCTCCCTACAGTGCTTCAACCCCCATACCGAGCCTGGTGGATTCTGACCCCGCAAAGAGAACCATGTTGGATGGTGTCCAGGGAAGCTTCTCCTCCTTGGCCCTGGGGGACAAGACAGAGAAAGAGTCTTCTGTTGACGTGGAGAAGAAGTAAGTGTCCCCACCAGCTTGGTCAGCACTGGGTATCAGGTGACTTCTGAAGCTGATGCCACAGCTCGTGGTATGGCCTTGGGCCTCGGTCACCTCCATAAATCCTGCTCTCTGGCATGGAGGCAGCAGTCTGGGGGTGGAATTAGAGGCCCTTTTTTCAGACAGTACCCAACCCCACAGCCCAGACCCAATGCCTCAACAGGGGAGACTGCACCATTGTGCTTTGCAAGAAATTTACTAGAATTGTTCAACGTGACATGTGTACTACCTCAGTAGGGTGTGTCGTGAAACAAAGCATGGCCCTATGTGTGTTAAATTGCATAGTCCTCATCAAGTTAGAAAAGCAAAACCAGAGCATCTAGACAGGCCACACGTACCACTGGTACCCGGGGCTGGAAAGGAACCCAGGCAATAGCATCTGTGCCAAGAAACGGGACCCAGCCACGTGGGCTGGCCCAAGGCTGGACTCTAGCCTCTGCTCCACTATAGCCCTTGCCTCTGGATCTCTATACTTAGAGTCAAAGAGCCTGAAGTGGACCTGCAGCCTGTCAACAAAGCCAGGAGAGGCAGTAAGAAGACATTCAACTGGCAGAAACAATCCTCCAAGAAGTGATGTTGCTTCCGCCAGCCACTAGGAGCACTGCGCTCCTCCCCATCTCCCCGCCTCCCTAGCCTCCCAATTCTGTGTAATAAACAAGCCTGCTCCAACATCTAGGTGAGGCCGTGGGGAAGGCTGGGCAGGCCTGGCTAGGTTTTGCTCATACAAGGCCCAAGGTCCTCAATCATACTGTTCTAGGCTAAGTTCTGACGGAATGTTGGTTCTCTCAAACTCAGTGCTTCCTCTGAGACCAATTAAGAGAGTCTGAGAATCTTCCCCATCCAAGGCCACTCCAAAGGTCCAAGATGAATGATGGGGCTGCACTGCATCCTGCCACCCTTCACTGGGTGGGGAAGATTTGGGTCCAAGTGGAAAAGGGTTAGAGAGAGAAGAGGGGCCTACATAGGAAGAGTGGAGAGAAATGTGCAGAACAGATAGGAGAAGGGGCAAAGGGAGAGACAGTGAGAAAGGAAGGAATGGGGAGAGAGAGAAGAGGAAGGAAGAAACCAGAGAAGATCAAAAATAAGGGGGAACAAGAGGGCGAGAATGGAGTGGGAAGAGGCAGGTAAGAACACAGAGGCCACCCCAAGGGCCCTTTAGTGGTCCCTGGAAAGCTAGAACCTCATGGTCCCCATGTCTCAGCCCAGCACCAGTGCCCTGCCCTGAACCAACAGGATTGAGGAGGCCTTATAAGCTCCCAGGGCCTCCCTGGTGGCACTCACGGGGCCAGCATAGCACCAGCTCTTGACCAACAGCTTGAGCTGAAGTACCCACGGCTCAGGAGAGTTTGTTTCCCAGGAGCCAAGTGCAGACTCTGAAGGCAGAAGAGCCTGGGCCTGGATGTATGGTTTGTGGGTCAGAACTCAGGGTCTGCACTGAACTGCTGGTGTTTGTTGTCTTTGTAAGATAATCGATTTCAGTTTGAAGTTTTTCTGGTTTGTTTTTTTCCATCCAGTTTTAATTTTACTTTAATATTCTGAATTGTACTCTTCATGTACATTTTTTTAATTATGCCCCCTCCTCTCATAAATAGATTCCAAATGGCCTGTTGTGTTCTTCTGCCTGCATCATTTGAGATCTGTTGTTGTTGTTAAGTGTCGTTTGAGTCGGTTCTGACTCATCGCGACCCTGTATAGGGTTTCTGAGGAGCAGTTGATGGCCTTGTCGTTTGCAGTCCAGTGCTAATCCTACAGCGCCACACCACAAGTCCATTTGGTATTTAAGGGCCCTGATATTTGTGATGGGTTCTGGGTAGTTGCTCCTTCCACACCTCCCCTCTAGGGCAAAAGTATGTGCAGGAGAGGAAGGCAAGGACACATGTGCCACGTCCCCTTTGTATTCAGATGCCTGAAACCCCTTATAGCAGGACTTTGGCAAAGGTTGGGCTAGCCTGAGCCTGCAATGAGACTCTGACTCGGTTCTTTGGGTCTGCAAGCACATCAATCCATACGGGCTGGAAGCACAGATCTTTCTCAAAAGGGTGTTGTGACACACTCCCCCAGAAATGGAGCAAAACAGCTGTGTATGAACAGGGGTGCCTGCCCAGGTGGAACAGTGAATGTCAAGCCATCAGTTGTCATCAGGCTGATTCTGATGCATGGTGACCCCAGGTGTGTCAGAGTAGAACTGTGCTCCATCTGGGTGGATTTGAACCTTCAGCCTTTCAGTTAATGATCTGCACCATCCAGGGATTCTGATGAGTGTCCAGTAGTACATAACCCAACGGTTCTCCAGGGAAGAGGATAAAAGAGGAGAGAAAAATGGAGACACCAGGAGAAGCTCACCCTTCACCCTTTAGCAATGCCCCAAGGGTATTTAAAAGCCAATCTTAACTCTTCCATCTTCTTCCTTCAATTAAGGATGCTTTGAAATTTTCTAAGGCAAACAGTTGTAGCCTAATTAAAATGATGCTCCAGAGATGGCAAACAAATGATGCATTGACGGTTGTTCTCCATCCCAGGCGGTTGTTCTCCATCCCAGGCGGCACTCTTTCCTACCAAACCTGGTGATGCTTCTCAGAATCGATCTCAGCTCAAGTCCACACAGCTGCTACCAACTACCATCTAGCCTTCCATTCTGTAGCTCTTTCTTCTACCTGAGCTTCATTTTTCAGGGAGTTTGGCTAAATGGGTTTAAGGTTCAGCTTCAGGAGGCTAAGTAAAGAACAACTACAGAGAAACTGTAAACTGAGAAAGTCCTGAAGCTCACACAGGGCTGAGAGGCATTTGAGTTCCAATCAGTAAGAATGCAAAGACCTTAGTGAACAACTGGGCCTCTCAGTAGAGGCCCCAGAAAAGTCCTAACACAGGAGCAAGGCTAAAGTAGTCCTATAGGAAAAGATCATCTAGATCATGCCTTGCTGTTGTTGTTAAGCGCCATCCATTTAGTCAGTTCCGACGCATAGCGGATCCTGTAAAGGGTTTTCAAGGAGTGCCTGGTGGGCTTGAACCATGAACTTTGTGGCTAGCAGTCCAGTGTATATCCTACAGTGCCACACCAGTGTGAGATGGAATGAGCCGGAACACAAACACCCCTGTGTAAGGCTTTATTGGAGGTCGGCCGGAAAGAGAGAGGAACTGCCGGGGGAAGGATTTTTATACTGGTCCAAGAGGAGGGAGGGGTTGAGATTAGTGGAGGTAGGTTATAGGTTGACTAGGGATGACATGCTGGTAGGGAGAGAGGAAGTGCCGGTAGGAAGAGAAGTTCCGGTAGGGAGAGCGAAAACGTGGTAAGCAGCCATTTTATTATGTATGTGGCTGAGGGATTCTATCATTCCAGCCTTTTGTTGTTATGGGTACAGGGGCGGGGGTCATTTCTTCTGGAGCTGCTTCCTGCTGGAAGTGGGTGAAGAGGAGGGAACTATGTATCTGGCGTGTTCTGGCTGGCTGGCTGGTTGCTTGGCAGTGGTTGGTATCCGGCCTTGAGGAATTCGCCCTGTCTGGTTTGTGAAGGCCCTCAGGCGTTCCTGAAGGAAACTTAGAAAACAGTGAAACAGGGAGGGGAGGGGCCAAATAACAGTATCAGGAGGATTATAGTTAATGACCCTAGGAAGGGGAGGAGCCAAGGCCACCAGGAGGACATTAGGGTCCAACCATAGTTTGCTGTTTCTGATTGCCTAGTGCGAATTCTTTTACCTTGCTGAGGACTATGTCAGACCCATTGATAAAATAACAACATTCCTCACCTAGGGTCTGGCACATTCCTTTCTTAGCTGTGAGGAGGTCTAAACCTTGTCGGTTTTGGAGTATTACTTCATCTAGTGAGTTAACTTGATTTTGTAAAGCAAGGAGGGTGCCTGCTACCTTCTCCATGTCCCTGTTCAAGGCCTCTGATAATTTTTTCATAATAGATGTATGGATGTTCCTAATCAGATGGGGTTAAGATTCAGGCCTCAGGGATTAAATATGTGACCCCATACAGCTGTTGTGTGGGTGGTGGTGGTGTGCCGTGGAGTCGGTTCCGATTCATAGCGACCCTGTACAGGGTATCTGAGGCCGTAAATCTTTACGGGAGCAGAAAGGCATTTGAAAATCTTTTCCACATAAGAAATATATTCCTTTTGGCCCACCTGTTGGGTTGCTTACCTTTGTTATGTCACTGCACCAGGAGTTTGGGAGAGGGAGGAAAGGTTAGTGATGTTGCGGTTATGAATGCAGGTGAGGTTGGTGGAATTACTGAGGCCAGTCTCTGTGAGGAGAGGTCCTGTGTACTGTATGGTGGTTGTATTAGGATATGATTTAGGGACTGGGTCAGCAAGAATGGCTGAGTACCCCAGGTCCCTATGGGGAAATAAACCCAGCATGAGGTTTTATTGAATATGGTTCCTATATCAGTGATTAGCATGTGATGGGGTTGGCAGAGGCTGTCAGGATCTAGCTGTGTTTGTAACCCTTTATAACCTGGGTCCAGCCACTGTGTGAGGTTCTTTGTGGCTTCTACACTGATCTTTCTTCCTCGCTGCATCGGCCACCCCCATCCCATCCCTCATCTGACGTCCCTATTTGGGTTTGAGATGTCCAGAAGACAGGCTTGTTGCACGACCTTTTGCAAGCTGTGGATTGGGAAGCCATGCAGTTAGAGAGTTTGGATAGGTACCATACTCTGATTCCACAAAACTGCTTCATGACAGGTGTTTGTCCCAGCTAGCAAGCAGAGTGCATCAAGGTCAGGATACTGGAGCAATCCGTGGCTGTATGAGGGGTTGAGCATGTTTTGCCATTTTGGCTAAGGCACGATCTGATCATCAAGATTGAGATAAAGAGTATGGAGAGCATACTGGGATGATGATAAGTCCCCCTATGAGGAGAAAGAGTAAGGCAAAGAGTATTCGAGAATGGCAAGGCCACTCAGGGGGTGAGACAGAGAAGAGGCCTACTGCAAGAACGATAGATAGTGCCCCGAAGGGGGCAAGGAAGGCCGAGTGGCAAGTTGACATGGAGGTATGTCTAAGGGAGTATGTGGAGGTAGGGATAGCCAGCAGAGGAGAAAGAATGTCAGCAGAGAGATTTCGTCTGGTGAGAAGTCAGAGAGAGAGTGCCCTGGATAACTAGGTCTTTGATCCAGAATAGGATAGAGTCAGGAGCATTAGCCTTTGGAAAGAACCACTGGAGGTCCTGGTCCACCTGGTCGAGGAAGCAGGAAAATCGGTTGACTAGGCAGGAGTCATACATTTATTCCTCTGGGATGAGGCTGGGTTTGAGTTTGGTCAGTCCTGCGAAAGAGGAAGTATAGCAGGGTACGCCTGAGTTAATATCCGATTTGGGAATGAGTGAAACTGTGTGTGCCAGTTTTATGCATGACATATGGAACCAGGAAGCTCTGCCAGCTAATTTGTCTGCTGTGGGGGTGGTGAGTAAGACCTTGAGGGGTCCTTCCCATTTTGGTTGCAAAGGGCTTGGGTTGAGGGTTTTCAGGTACACCTGGTCACCAGGTTGGACCCGGAAGTGTTGTTGTTCCATAGAGTGGGGTTTGGGTAGAAATTGGTCTGCGGGGTTAGCAACAAATGACAAACCATA